AAATAGTAATATTTCTGACACGTTTTTTTATATCTGGGTGAACCCAGAGACCAAGAGCACTGGATAGGAGGACAGTAATATTACTTTGAAGTTTTCCCTTTTATAAATTAGATCAGAAGTTGCAAATGAGTGGAGGAATATAACTGTTAACCAATAACAATAGTATGTCTGACATCAGTCAGCCTGAAATTACTCTCTTGTAATGGTTAACTGCCTTCCTGACAATTCACAGCAGGGGGTGATTTTTCCTTCATAAAAAGTTAAGATAAAAAGCAAGAGAAAAATTCCTGTATGTTGTGATCATCATGTGTGTTGAAATCAGTTTGTTCAATGTAATCATCATTTTCTAATCTCCAGGTATGAAGGAACCGAGCAGTTTTGATCTTGCAACAGTCGATGGGAAAAAGAAGCCAATAAAAGAAATTAGATGAAATGTAATATATTTTCTGTTAATTTTCTGTCAGGCTTTAGCCAGGGTTTTGGGAAGGTCCAGTGGGGTCAAAGTCTTACCTGGCTTATACAGTGTTTCATTGTGCAGTGGTCTGGATAGAGCAACACATACAGTGTTAAAAAGGTAGTGGAAAATCATGCGTTGCTAGCACACGCTATTTTCAAAATACAAATTTTGCTATTTGTCATCAAAATGAGTCCAAATATATCAAAGCATTTGCGTTCATTGAATAAGTCCATTAAAAATAAATTTGAGTAATCAGAACATAAAACATACTTATTATAAAACATTTTATATTCTATTCAATAATGCAAAGATGTCCATGAAGAATTTTAGCAAATTTTGTACACACCAGAAATCATCTTTTGATTAAAAACAAGAAAGGGAAATTTCATTCCAAAGGGTAATTTATTTATGAAAAGTTATAAGTAATTTAGGATGAATGTGCCACACTGCTGCTGTATTAAGGTCTGATATTAGACCTACTGAACTCTATGGGAGTCTTTCTGTTATCTTTAATGGAAGTTGAATTGGATTCTTAATTTGTACATTATATACACCAGTATTTTGTGTTGAATTATATGAATTATTTGTCAAAAGTACTCAAAATTAACTGGCCTGAGCTAGAACTTTGTCTGTAAACCATGAATAGTTTGTGCAAGGGTTGGTTTGTCTCAATACCTTCTATAGATTGTTTTTGCAAACTTTATTCGCCCTAGGATATCCACAGACTTTATCAGGCTATTATTCATGGAGTGTTATGAATTCAATCCTGGTTCAGAAGGTCAGGCTACATTAGGCAAGTCACATGGTTTCTGATTGGCTGATGTTGTCCCCAAGGGGGTCAGTCTCCAGCTCAGCAGAAGCCATTTTGATTCTTAGAGGATCCAACTGACCTCTCACAGTGGAATGGGTTATTTCTGGTGTTTAGGGCTACTGTGTCCTAGTGCAGGAGTGATTAAAAAGCTCCACATTTAGGGAACATAATCTACCCAAAGTGAACTCAGTTTGCAGGAATGAGCTTACTCTTGCCTTACTTGATCATTGTAGGAGCGGACTTTCACTTTGTGTTGTCAACAGACCTTGCCCATTCAGGCAGTACAAGGACCATAGAAGGAAAAAAAACCAACAACACTATATGTATAATTTAACTTAAAAGACTTATGTAGCCATATGGAGAGCGTCCCCCTACGAAACACGTGATTACATGTATTGCTCATCTAGGCAACAAGCTAACGCACACTCTGATTTTTTAATCTGTATATACAGAGAACTTGATCCCAGCCATACTGATACCTTGATTATAGCCCAGTCAAGTTTTTGAATTCAAGTGAGGAATAAGCAGCAAAAAGATACATGACCCAATCCAGTTGTCTTGTGAATGTTCTTATAATTGAAGACCAGGAAAGGAAAAAAAATCAGAAAATATATGTTATATAAATACAGAATGATTTTCAGTGTGTCAGTTGCTTTATACATGGACTGTCCATGTCATATAAAGAGAAACCATCAGATGCCAGTAACAAAAAGACAAATGTTGGCATCAAATAAATATAGCCCTAATTAAGAACTCACAGATCAGAGTCGGTAAAAAAAACAAACCGAAACCCCCACTTCTGTTAGTCTGTCATACCCCAGGAGCACCACACTCCCTTCTTCATTTGTTCTGGCTTGTCCTTGCTTCTGTGCTGCATCAATGGAGTTTTTTTTAGTGAATCTGGTCTTAAAGGAGTCCAATAAAAGTCTGTTTTATTCTTGAGAGTGAGTAAACTAATCCCTACAAAAAAGGAGTCCAGAAAGAGGTGCCAAGTGCAAAATGAAGGGGCTGTTTTTCAGATGTTTCTTGTTCCAGTAAAGTCTTTCCCCACTATATAGACTTTTAAAAGAGATAGCCAAGTCTCCATGGTGAAGGGAATTTCCTTTGCCCCTTTTAAAGTCTAATAATAATGCTTAGCAATTAAATGGCACTTCATATCTTTGAATCACTGTACAAACTCTAAGGCCCAATCCTTACCTAGGAAAGTAGTTCCAGTATCGTCAGGAGAATTGCTTGTGCAAGTAAAGGCTGCAGGACTGACCACTAACTAGTGAATCCTCCCATCATTATTATTATTTTATTTATTTGTATTACCATGGCACCTAGTCCTGGACCAGGAACCCAAAGCAGTGAAGATACGCTGAGGACCAAGCCCTTCTTCTTTCAAAATGAGACTGCCCAGCAATATTTTATGTAACTCAGTGTCTCTTATTTTGAAGGCGCTGAAACTGATTCTGTGCAAACAATGTTTAATGAAGGGATGTATCTCAAAACAGAGTAGGCATTTGACTGTGATCTCCTTGTAGAACAAACAAGAGGAATCAGTAAAGGCCTTTCTTATCAAATTTGTAACCGTAAGTAAAGAATAATAGCACCCAGTGAGAAAATAGTACTTCACCAGTTGCTGTATCCATCCGCAGTTCTCATGCACTCAGCATCTTTGCTTCTAGACACTGGAGGTCAGATCCTGGCCCCACTGAGGTCAATGGAGTTTTGATTTTGATTTCAGTGGAGGCAGGATTTCACCCCAGATCACACCAGAATATTTGAAGGTAAATTGTCTGAATAAGTTTGAAGCACATTAATAAGGAAAATGCAGTCTGAGACTTCCCTTGTGCAATGTATCTTGGGTATTTTTGAACTATTATTCACAGCGTCAGAAATACTTTCAATCCAGTGAATTTCTCTAGTATGGATAACATTCAGAAAGAGGGATGGACGAATGGGTACATAGATCCGGCCCTTGTGTGCAGATATGTGGGGAGATAAGAAGGAGCCTTCACCCCTCTCTTGTACACCTTGTATTATGAGGGGGGACAGTCACAGTCTCTGCTCTGGGGGAGTCTGTTACAAAGGAGAAAACATTATTTATTTAAATAACAAGAAGATAATAAACCCAGTACTGATCTGCTGTAGCGTAGCATGGCTGTATTCTCTGTCTCAGCCTCTGCAACTGTTCCTGTTGCTGTGTAGACATAGTCCAGAGCGTTGATGGGAATTGTGGCATTGCATAGTGTCCTGCCAGAGGTGTGGTGACTTTAAACTTCTCCCTGAAGTTTAGCTCTTAGAGTTCATCTTTTCACCCTGCCTCAGGTGCACACGAGCTCTCCACACCCCCCCCCCGCCTTTTTGGGCTCTTACAAGCTTTCCTCCACCCCTGCAGGCTCACACTGGTTCCCTCCCCCACATCCCCCTGGGGCGGGGGGGGGGGGGAGGGTTCAGCCATGCTCTTTTCTCTTGAGCTACCTGGGTTGCTATGGAAACTGTGGCAAATAACAACATTCTCCCCCACCTCTCCTCCCCCAGGAGAAGCTCCTTGAGCAACAGCAAGAACCAACTGCCACGGCTTGTGCCTCCTTCTCTCCCCACCCTTGGGAGCCCCAGAGAGGAGGATGAGACACACACTCAGCAACAGTGTCCCGCGTGCAGCAGTGCCATGCACCAGGTGGCTCAGAGCTGAGTGCTAGGTGAAGAGAGAGACACACACATACACCGAGTGAGAGAGAGAGAGAGAGAGAGAGAGTGTCCTGGACCTCCCCAGGCCAGGTGCTGCTCCCAGCTCCCATTCCTCACCTCCTGCCACTCCTGACTTGAATTACCTTTGTCCCCTGTCTGCACTCGGGTTTCTGCTTTTCTTCCCTCTGCCAGGCTTTTGGTGTTTGAATGATGCACCTGCTGTTGATCACATGGGGGGGCCTAAGGGGACCATTCATCCTGCACTCCTAGGAGGTGCTGACTGTTTCCATATAATTATGTTGATACAGAGGTGGGCAAATGAAACCCATCAAATAACTTATTCAATGAGTTTTCTGAAATTTTTCAAAAATATTTCCACCCTCCCCATTGCATAGGGTCAGGTGAATAATTCTGAAATAGGTACAAATTTCATGCCATTTTTTCCAAATAAAATATTTGTGACTCAGCCCCCTCTCCCTCCTTTTCTCATTACTCGCCCCGCTCTGATTTGGTTGGTGTGTTTAGGCTTAATCTGTCTGGTTTGTTGCAGTCTGGCAGCCGTCCTCACTTGGCTGGGTTTCTTTCTTTTTTTTCTTTTGAGGTGGGAAGGGGAGGGAAGAAGAAGTAGGATAAAGTTTCCTGAGCAACAGAGTAAAACCACTTATGAAAGAAGAGAGCTGCAAGTGCAAAGTGAGGCTGTAAAGATCTCGGCAGGACTACTATGAATTCCTTACTATGCTCAGTCACTTTTTCTCCTCCTTTAGATCTGTATATATTTTTTTTTGGGTATGGCTTAGTGTAATCTGTATTAGCCACCCCAGGCTCCAGGGCACAGCAAGAATCGGTTGCCTAGCAGAGGTTGCTCTTTAAGGGCTGAACAGAATTGTACTGGAAACCTTAGGGAGGCTCTCATCCCTCCCTGGTTGCTTTAGAGAGGGATTCGCCTATTGGAGGTGGTCCTTGGTGCAGGTATTGTGTGCATGTGTGTACACAGTTCATGCATCACAGGTATTTGACAGTGTGTGTGAGAGAGGAACATTCTTGTTGAATAAACAGGTGCAGACAGTGCCCGGAGGGCAGCACTGACTGTCTGGCCACAGCAGAGAGAGGAGGTGAACATGAGTAGCCCCACCGCGAAGCCGACCTGCCTGTCACAGCCGATGGTGAAGAGTGTGCTGGTATATCGCAATGGTGACCCGTTCTTCCCGGGGCATCGGGTAGTCGTCCATGAGAAGAAGGTGTCCAACTTCGAGGTCTTCCTGAAAGAGGTGACAGGTGGGGTGAAGGCACCTTTTGGGGCTGTGCGTAGCATCTACACCCCCCGGGGCGGACATCGCGTCCGTCAGCTGGAGGAGCTCCAGAGCGGAGAGCACTACGTGGCTGGTGGCAGGGAGGCCTTCAAGAAACTCAAGTGAGTGGTGAATGAAAAAAATAATTACAAAATGTAATAAAACATTCGCATTGAACCTTTATTATTTGTATTGTGGCAGCGCCGTGGAGCCCCAGTTATGGACTAGGCTCCTACTGTGCCAGGCATTGTACAAATACAGAACAGAAAGACTGTCCCTGCCCCAAAGAGTTTAAAATCTAAGTAAATGTGACAGAGGAAATTTAATGCAGCTTTGTGTAGTGGGGAGAGGGTTCCCTCTTTAAGGCTTAACATAGAATTAGCATTCTAGTATCTCTGCTTGGCACTTTACAAAAATAAAAGAAACAGTCCGTAACACCAAGAGATACACCATCCTTGCAGCATAATGTATTATTTTCACTGCATGGTAACTGCCTGCATTTGGGATGAACATTTGGTGCTCAGTAATATTTGGGGAAGCTGCACTGGAAGAATACAGTGCAGAAGTGTGTATGATAAAGTTGGATGAGCCTTGCAGATTAGACCTTCCAAACAATTTTGTTTCTTGATTGTTTTTTTAAATGTTTAAAATATTCTGTTCATTCCAGGTAGGTACATGGCTCTCTATATAACCATAGTAGCTGAGTATCTCCTGTTATTTAAAAGATGACAGTGTTTTTGCTCTCTCCCTGCCCTACCCTGCCCTGCCACCAAAAAGCATGCTTAGCGTTGTTGTTTTTTTGTTAACAAATGGTTGTGAGAATGTTGTGGGAAAGCCTTGGCGAAGTGGTGGGCTTAGGGTTAGTGCTTGTTCTATTTCTTCTGACAGTGAGTTCCGTACTCTTGGGCCTTTTAACAGAGACGACACGTAACTGTTGATAGTTGGGGAGCCCCCCACAATTTAAAGGTTCTGTGTGAACCCTGTCAGAAGAGATGACATGGGGGGTGAGGGTGGGGGCACAAGCCGCATGGCCTTACAGTCACTCGCTGCGCCGCCTTCAGTGTATCCCTCCCCCACCTTCAGCAGGTAGCTCAGGCTGTCCGGAGTGGGCTGAGCCCCTGTGCCCTGTCTGTGCCCCTCAGCTCCTGCAGCTAGAGGCATGTGCAGGAGGCCACTCTACCAGGCTGCTGCTGCTGTCTGTGTGGAAGGGCAGGCCATGGCAGGAGTCACCTCCAGCCCAGGATGGCATCACTGGGCACTGGCAGGGAAGGGAAGGAGCCAGGCTGCACTGGACACCCCTTACCGCTCTCTCCCTGGGCTGGGGTTTGGTGTCACCTCCTCCTCCTCCCCTCTGCCAGATCCCAACCACCCCTGCAGGTTCCTGAGGGCCCCACAATACACAATGCCTCCTTCACCCCCTCCTGTCTGCACTGCAGCCAGGGTACAGGAAGCGGCTGGCTTATATCGGTGGCCAGCAGCAGTCTGGAGGTGTTAGCTGCCTTTGGTGCTGAGCGAGTGGGAAGGGACAGGAACTGCTGCCAGTCGCAGTGGGGAGGAGCAGGGAAGGGATGAGCTCTGCAGAGACATGGGCCGGGGCAGCTCCTGGGCAAGTAGGGTGACCAGATAGCAAGTGTGAAGTATTGGAATGGGGGTAATAGGAGCCTACATAAGATATCCCCTTGAGTATCAGAACTGTCGCTATAAAATTGGAGCACCTGGTCACCTTATGGGCACGGCAAAGGGAATGAGGGAAGCAGCCCTCACTAGATGGTTCTGACATTCTGGTGTGAATCCTAGCAGAAATCTGTGGGGGTGGGGGAGCACGTGAACAACCGGGACCGAGAAAGGAATTGTGCTTTCAATAATTGCAGAATTATATATTTAAGGTTAAGTGGCTATTTCCCATCTTTAGAACTTGAACTTCAAACCCCCAAACCCTGTTTAGACCCCATAACTTACTCCTGACGGAATTCTGCACCAAAACAAATAAAATTTCTGCACACAATATTTTAAAATTTGGCAAATTTTATTTGTCAATAAATAAATGTGGAGGCTCCAGCATGGCAGTGGGGAGCACAGGCCACTAGCTGAACGGAGATGGGAGATCGCCCTGCAGCCCTCCACCTCTGGACTTTGACTCGGTGGTGAGGCTGCACCTGACCCTGACACAGTGCTAGAGCCAGGCCTGCCCCAGAAATACCCCAGGGCCCTGTCCCTCCATGCAAGGCACACCAGGTATGGGCAGCCCAGCAGAATCCAAGTGTGGAGGAGCTTAGTGTGGGGAGATCCAGGTGTGGGGGGAGAGGGTTCTGGGTGGACAATCTGAGGCAGGCAGCTCAGTGGGGAGGATCTGGATGCACAGGGGTGTGTTGGGGGGTTCTGGGTGTGGGGGGAATGGAGCTCTGCAGGAGAAGTCAAGGTGCTGGGGGAATGGGGCTTGGTAGGGTGGGGGTCTAGGTGGTTTGCCAGGGTGGTCCAGGTGCAGGGGGGTGTGGGGCTCATTGAGGTTTGGGTTTGAGCGTAAGGGGCTCAGTGAGGGTAGCCTGGGTGGAGGGGTGGATGTCTGGATGAGGGGTGGGGGTTTGGTGGTGGGGAGGGGTCTGAGTGCAGGGAAGGCTCCAGATGCAGGGGGTAAGGCTCAGCAAGCGGAGGTTCAGGTGTGGGGGACTCAGTGGGGTGGTTCTGGGTGTGGAGGGGGGTGAGGCTCGGGACTGGGGTTTGGGTATGGGAGGGGGGGTCTGAATGGGGGTTGGGCAGAGGGAGGGGCAGCTCCCTGTACAGAGACTCCCTCCTCCCACAGCTGAGGAGCAATGGGGCCAGGAAGCTGGGCGTATGTGCGGTGCTTCTTGCAGCTGGGGGAGGTTTCCAAGGGTGGATCTGACCTGGACCAGGTCACTTCTTGCAGGAGAAGAGGCAGTCCTGTCCTCCACCCCCAGCCCAGCTGGGACTAGAGCTGAGCCTGACACAGGGTAGGAGCCACTGGTCTGGGCATCCCCTGTGGTGATCTACCTCTCTGACGGCTCCTCTGAGTGCGCAAAACAACACGCCCATGCTGCTGGGGAGGGGAGCATGACCACTTTTGCAGCTTCCTTTTGCTTCCCTGTTGGAAGTAATTTTTCTGTGGGGAAGCAAAGAAATCTGTGGGAGACATGAATTCTGCGCACACGCAGTAGTGCAGAATTCCCGCATTAGTATGCCATCTTCATGTCTGTCTCTTCTGACAATATACATTCTTTTTTAAAATGATGCAATAGATATAGATTGGGATTTTCAAAAGCACTCAGCATTGGCCTAATCTTGCTCCTGGTGACGTCAATGGGAATTTTACCACTATCTTCATTGAAAGCAGGATTAGGCCATTGCTGAGCACTTCTGAAAAATCCCACTCTACTGTAAAGCCACTGTCCAAGAAGAGGAAAAGTTGCCAATTATATAAAATTGCTTTTCTAAACATACCAGACCTGATCCTCTACTGCCTTCCAGCTTGTGTAGTCATTTTCAACTGTGCTAAATGAAGGTATGCTGTGTGTGTACGTGTGTATAGAGCTTGATCTTATGGCTTGTCCACACAGAGACTAATGGTGAGTGGCAAGCTGGGGTGTAAAGCCATTGCGCTGTAGCCTACTGCACACTAATTAGATGCATGTGTGACATTGCATTCTATATGATTTTATGAAAATATCCTAATGAGTGTGAATATAATGTAACTGGAATATGCTTCATGCAAAAGATCTCTTGTATGAAGCGGGTATGTGCGGTAAGGTATCATTGCAAAGCTTATAATCTATGGAGTGTGGTCATCCTATTGGTATGTGTGTATCATTCTTGTATCTGAAACTAGAAATATGAAGTATAACTCTGAGGGCCTATTGTAATTATGCAAAATGTGGGCCATTAATGGTGGTTTGGAATCTTGATGGCTCCCATCAACCAGGACAATTGACTGTGGATGGCTCTGTTTGCTTGCAGGCCTTCCTGTGAGTCAGGCTGGGAGGAATGAAGGGTTGGGGGGTCTCACAGGACATGTGACCATGTCACCTGGTACTGAAATCCATCTTTAACCTGGTGCTTTTCCATTTAGAAGGAGGAGTGGGAACCCAGAGAGGGACAAAGGATTCCCGCCCTGTGCAACAGATATATAAGGGGGTGGAGTAGAACAAAGGGGGCTGCAGTCATGAGAAATCCCCTAGCTACCACCTGAGCTGGAACAAGGGCTGTACTAGGGGAAAGAATTGTGTCCAGACTAGGAAGGCATCAGGCAGTGATAGAAGCTTATAGAAACATCTCTGAGGGTGAGATTTTGTCGGTATTCAGTTTTCTTACTGTATTAGGCTTAGACTTGCGTGTTTTATTTTATTTTGCTTGGTAATTCACTTTGTTCTGTCTGTTGTTACTTGGAACCACTTAAATCCTACTTTTTGTATTTAATAAAATCACTTTTTACTTATTAATTAACCCAGAGTATGTATTAATACCTGGGGGAGGAGGGCAAACAGCTGTGCATATCTCACTATCAGTGTTATGGGGGTGAACAATTTATGAGTTTATCCTGTATAAGCTTTATACCGGGTAAAATGGATTTATTTGGGGTTTGGACCCCATTGGGAGCTGGGTGTTGGAGACAGGAACACTTCTCAAGTTGTTTTCAGTTAAGCCTGCAGTTTGTGGGACGTAGTTCAGACCTGGGTCTGTGTTTGTAGCAGGCTAGCGTGTCTGGCTCGAACCAGGCAGGGCACTGAAGTCCCAAGCTGCCAGGGAAAACGGGCTTAGAAGGTGGCAAGTCCCAAGGGGGTGTCTGTGACCCGACCCGTCACAGTGTGCACCCACTAAAAGTTCTGTACTGCGGTAGCAGGAGTTACACAGCAACTTAGTGCATGGCTGATTAGTGCGCTATGGATTCTGTGCACTACCTTGCCATGTGGACAAGCCTTTAGTGCTTTGGCGATTTGTTCTTGGCCTTTGACACTTTTTCTTGTGAGGTATCTATTCCTTCTGACACCTTTGTCCTTTTTAGCCTTGTAAGTTTTAGGTTGCCACCCCACTCAGTAAGCCCTGGCATCTTTATACCTGGAGAAGCCTCAGTAGTTTATTTTGAGGCTTGGGCACTTTACTTTGGAACCTTACCCTTATCTTGCAGAGTCTCTGCATTTTCATCTCTGGTGTTTCAGTGCTTTGCCTTGGTGTTGGACGTGTTGCCTTGAAGCCTTGTTGTATCTTGATACTCCAGCACTCTGAATACTTCAGTTCAATCCTCTAGAGCCTTAGTGCTTTGGCACCATTATTTCCAGTGCCAATGGGAGATGTGTATCAAACTCTGCTCATCTACCAATACATTTGTGACTGCTTTCAAGAGAATCTGTTGGGGAGACCCTGTACTGAACTCAGCTCACTTGCAGATGCACGTGGAACTCCCAGCAGAAAATGCCACTGGGCAGACCCTGCACTGAGTGCTGATTGCCTGCTGATACGTGTGTGGCTTCCAACTGAAAGTGCTAATGGGGAAAACCCTGTATTGAGCACTGACCAGCTGCCAATGAATCTGATGCTCCTGGCAAAGACAGCTTAAAGGAGACACTTGAACTCCAGCCATCTGCCAGTTCATCTTTAACTTCTGCAGGAAGTGCCAAAATGAAGCACTGTGTTGAGATACAACTACCCACTGCAGCATCCTGGGCTCCAGCACATGCACCATTGCAAGTTCCTGCACAGAGTTCCAGCCAAAATCTCTGTGCATTCTCAGCTCCTGGTGCCTGGCACACATGGGAGACCTATATTTTTCTTAGTTTTTCAGTGTATAACTATGAGGGCAGAGTTAAGTTAGTTTGGGTGCTTTGTTCAAGGAGTCCAACCCCAAGTTCCTAAGCATGAGGGTTTGTTTTTTTTAACTCTAATTTTCTTGAAAGGCAATATGCAGTCAAACAACCATGTGTACTCCAGTCCAAACATCACCTTATCAAAGTTTTTTTGGATGGGAATATAGGTTTTAATTTGGGCTGTCAATTAATGGCAGCTAACGTACGTGATTAACTCAAAAAAATTAATCGCAATTAAAAAATAATCATGATTAATCTCACTTTTAACAATAGAATACCAATTGAAATTTAGTAAGTATTTTTGGATGTTTTTCTACATTTTCAATATTGATTTCAATTACAACACAGAATACAAAGTGCACAATGCTCACTTTTTATTATTAGTTTTGATTACAAATATGTGCACTGTAAAAATGATAAACAAAAGAAATAGTATTTTTCGATTCACCTCATACAAGTACTGAAGTGCAATCTCTTTATCGTGAAAGCGTAACTTACAAATGCAGAATTTTTAGTTACATAACTGCACTCAAAAACAAAACAGTGTAAAACTTGAGCCTACAAGTTCACTCAGTCCCACTTCTTATTCTGCCAGCCGCTAAGACAAACAAGTTTGTTTATGTTGACTGGAGATAATGCTGCCTGCTTCTTATTTACAGTGTCACCTGAAAGTGAGAACAGGCATTCACATGGCAGTTTTGTAGCTGATGTTGCAAGGTATTTACTTGCCAGATATGCTAAACATTCATATGCCCCTTCCATGATTCGGCCACCATTCCAGAGGACATGCTTCCATGCTGATGATGCTTGCTAAAAAAATAATGCATCAATTAAATTTGTGACTGTACTCCTTGGGGGGAGAATTGTATGTCTTCTGCTCTGTTTTACTCACATTCTGCCATGTATTTCATGTTATAGCAGTCTCGGGTGATGACCCAGCGCATGTTTGTTTTAAGAACACTTTCACAGCAGATTTGACAAAATGCAAAGAAGGTACCTATGTGAGATTTCTAAAAATAGCTACAGCACTCGACCCAAGGTTTAAGAATCTGAAATTCCGTCCAAAATCTGAGAGGGATGAGGTGTGGAGCATTCTTTTAGAAGTCTTAAAAGAGCAACACTCTGATGCGGACTCTACAGAACCCAAACCACCAAAAAAAACCAACCAGAAAATCAACCTTCTGCTGGTGGCATCTGACTCAGATGATGAAAATGAACATGCATCAGTCCGCACTGCTTTGGATCATTATCAGGCAGAACCCATCATCAGCATGGACGCATGTCCTCTGGAATGGTGGTTGAAGCATGAAGGGACATATGAATCTTTAGTGCATGTGGGATGTAAATATCTTGCAATGCCAGCTACAACAGTGCCATGCGAATGCCTGTTCTCACTTTCAGGTGAGATTGTAAACAAGAACCGGGCAGCATTATCTCCTGCAAATTGTAACCAATCTTGTTTTGACTGAGTGATTGGCTGGCCAAGAAGTAGGACTGAGTGGACTTGTAGGCTCTAAAGTTTTACATTGTTTTATTTTTGAATACAGTTTTTTTGTACATAATTCTACATTTGTAAGTTCAACTTTCATGATAAAGAGATTGCACTACAGTACTTGTATGCGGTGAATTGAAAAATATATTTTTTGTTTTTTACAGTGCAAATATTTGTAATCAAAAATATATATAAAGTGAGCACTGTACACTTTGTATTCTGTATTGTAATTGAAATTAATATATTTGAAAATATAATAAACATCCAAAAATATTTAAAATAAATGGTATTCTATTGTTGAACAGCGCAATTAATCTCTATTAATTTTTTTAATCGCTTGACAGCCCTAGTTTTAATGTACTGTAGACTGTGTGAATGGAGGCATGTTGTTCTTACAAGTGAAAAGCTGTGAAGGGAAGCTGGTTCTGTCACATGAATGCAAGCGCCAATAGATAAAATTTTCCAAAGTGACTAACCATTGAAAGTCAAAGGGGCTTACACTCCTAAGTGATTTAAGTGCTTTTGAAAATGGGATTTTGGTTCCTAAGTAACTTAAGTGATTTTGAAAATGATTAGTTAAAGGGGAATGGAGGAAGGTTTCAGATTTATCATACAGCTACTACTAGAGGCTGATCAGAAAGATGGAGTGCTTGAGCAGGGGCCAGAGTTAGCACCATGATAGGAATCCTAGCACAACACCTATACATCTAATCTGTTTGCTGGCCCTCATCACAATAGTATCTTAGCCTCTTCCTAAGACCTGGATTAGTGAGGGGCTGTGCTTTTTACCAGGCCTGGGACCCCGACTCTAGCTGGTGACTCCTCCTCTGTCTTTTGTATCGGTCTCTGACTTGTAGGCATCTGGTAAAGTTTTTTATTAGAAACCTGAATTAAGGGCACTTTATGCTTCTCAGTGCTGCAAGTAGTCAGTTTGTTTCAGTATAACACTTTGGTTATAATTATAGAAGTGAAAACTCCCTACGTCTTATTTTACTCATACTAATTTAATTAAATGTAAGAAAAAAATATTTTTTGTTGAGATTAAATGCTGCTATAAGTAACCTATACCATTCTTTTCTCTTCCCTCAGCTATTTGGACATAGGAGATGCAAAGAAAAAGCCTGCAGAAGTCAATAATGAGGTAATGAGACTCAACTATTTAAAAAAAGTCCAACATTAATACTAGTGTCATCTCTCCATTTCTTATTGAAAATTTTGGTTTGTGTTTTGGTATCTCATGTTCAGAAATGATCAAAACCAAGTTCTTCAACGTTATGAAGATGCTACTGAGGTTACCGTTAGCCCCATCCACACTTTCCACGTTTTAATTCTTGACTGTGATGAACTGGTTGTCTTCCTTTCAGCTCTGACAGCTGGCAGGTCTAGCAATAAAGCGCAAACATTTTATTGCTATCATCGTTAGATCTGATTAGAAAATGAAGCTCTTTGCTGTGGAAAATTTTGATGAAAATGAAAAAAAGTTTTTGTTGAAAAAAAATCAAAGTTTTCCATGTTCTGGCTGACAAATTTTAGAATACTTGAAATATTATGTGAAAGCAAACAGTTTATTTTAAAAAATGTAATGTAGTCAAAAATCCAACTATCTATCCAAAGATAGCTTGATGGAAAATTTTCAGCCAGCCCCAACCATAGCCTCCAAGCTCATCTGTACCTTTTGAACAGTGACAATATAGTATCAAGTGGGGCAGGATATTCAGTCTTTACCACTTCCAGTATTGTGCAGAACCTAGTGTGTTCTGCAATGGTATGCTCCTGTGGGACGAAAGTCCATGTCATTCGGATATAAAAAAAAATAGTTATTTCTATATCTCAGCGATGTTTCTTTTTACACCTCCTAGCTGATGAAGAGCATCAATCCCAAGAACTATCCTTCCAGAAGTATAAAGCCCTCTTAGCAGTGCAAATAGAGGTTTAATGTATGTAACCTGGGGTAACAGACACTTAATAATGGGAGATCCTCAAAGTTGAGCAGGATTTGCACCCGATAGACATTTGGTGTGATGCTGTGATATTTTTTCATTATCCAAAGAATGTAAAATGTGACACATTCTGTTTGCTAAAAAACTATTTTAAATGTTGTATGTGAAAAATATGTGAGTCTTTTACCTATTATTACTACAAGTAACATCTAGGAGTACTATGCATGGAATATTGTTTCAGTTTACTTACATTGCACATTGAGCAGTCATTTATAGGAAAGTATTTTCACTATCTCCCTGTATAGTCAGTTAGTTCTTTTTCCCTGTTATTTGTTTAGTCTTAATATAACGGAGTGGCACCCACCTCTTATGAGCCCCCTTTCTGGTTGGATGTGTCTGCATTCTTTAAACAGTCCTGGCCCATATCACCAGGGAGGCAATGGTTTCACCCTCTTGGTCTCTTCAGGCCCCAGCTCTCCAGCTGGGCCTCTTAACTGTTCAGTTCCTCTTCTGGAGGTTTATTGCTGTCTGATTGTAGGCCACTTTCCCAATGTCCTATGTGGGGGGGGGGGGGACCTGGGCCCACTCACTACTCCAGGTCCTGGCCTGGGACCCTAAGAATAGCAGCCACATGCTGCCATGTCCCTTTAATGAAACTACTTCAGTTCCCTGGACCACTTCCCTGCAGCCCCAGTCTTCACCAATGTGTCACCCTTTCCATAGGGCTGAAGTCTTATATTCAGTTCCAGCAGCCTGCCAGGAGCTCCTTCTTGCTCCCCTGGTCACTGCCAGCACTGAGCTGTCCATGGTGCTGCAGTTCCCTTTGGCCAGCCAGGAGCCCCAGCTGAACTCCTCTGGCTCTAGCAAGGAACTGACTCTGGGCTGTACTGCAGCTCCTTTTATACTAGCCTGCAACCTTCTGATTGGCTAGGCCTTCATAGTCTCTCTAGGCCACTCAGAGGACTTAGCTCTACAGCTCCTTTCCTGGGGTGGGTGTGGCAGGACCCTGAGGGTCCCTGGGCTTAGTCCACCCCGTCACAGCAAAAGGAAGAGAGAAGCATTTTTAAAAAAAAAAAAAAATTAAATTAAATGCTGACTTGACCTATGCCTAGGGCTTATATTGTGTCCCTGAGGTGCACATATAACTCTCAGTAACTTTGCACAAGAAAGAAGTTGCCGCAGTGCAAACATGGACTGTGCAAGCTTTCCCACACCATTTGTCAATGAAGTCTGTTCCTGACCTGCAATATCTTTATTATTCCAGTGCAGGGTCTCTTCTGAACAAAGTTTGTGAATCTGGCTGAAATTAGGTGACTTGTTTGTGGTTTGTTAAGGTGGACAAATGGAAACTAAAGTGAAGCCATCATACTGATTCTCAGTTGCGATCCAAGTCAGAATGTAAAATTCTTCTTAAAGGGTAAAAGGCTTGTGCATTTACGCACTGGTGCACTTGTCTTAACGTCCATCTCGCACACACAACACAATGGTGCAGAGTAATGTGAGCTGAAATGATTGTTTTTCAAATCAGTTAAACATCTGTATGAAGCCATATTTATATTGGGGCACTGCAAGGAGCAAAGAAGAATGCTCCCACATCTTAAGGGTGAGCTTTGCATTGCTGAATCAGAGAAAGTAATTTGAAATTTTCTCTGTAAATACATTTTTACTGTGATGTACGACTCCTGTTAATTATTGAAAGCATTGCATGCCCAATTCCCATTGTACGTCACTGAAAAGGTGCCTAAAGGTGCCCTTCTTAGGCTATGTATACACTACAGCTTAAGTCAGTATAACTTACTCACAGGTGTGAATAAGCCACCCCCCTGAGTGACATAAGTTATACCGTCCCTAAGCGCTGGTGTGGACAGTGCTATATCAGTAGTAGAGCTTCTCCTGCCGACTCAGCTACCAGCCGCTTGTGGGGGCTGGAGTAATTAAATTGATGAGAGAGCAGCACTACAGTGGTGCAGCTGCAAGCGTTGTAGTGTAGCCATAGCCAGTGTGTAGATGGCCCTTGGCCATGGAATACACTACTACTGGATAGTGGGATGATTACAAGTTTCTCTACTCTTAATGCTGGTGCAAGTTACACCCCCTTGAAGCAGGGCTTTTCCCAGTAGTGGAGTAGTGTAACAGCCTTTGCAGACTGGAACCAGGTGAGTAGGAAGCTCAAAAAAAGGAGGAGCATTGGGTTCATTTTAGGGCATATTCTGGTGTGATGTAATACTTACTCCTGTATCTGGGGTGAAATCCTGACTTCATTGAAGTCAATGGCAAAACTCCCACTGACTTCAGTGGGGCCAGGATTTGACATCTAGTGCCTAGAAGCAAAGGTGCTGTGTGCATTAGAGATGAAGATAGATATAGAAACTGGTGAAGCAGCACTATATCCTCACTGATATAATTATTCTTTACATTCTGTTACAGGTTTGAGAGGAAAAGCCTTTACTGATTCATCTTGGAGTTTGTTTCATTTCCTTGTTATGTTAAAATGCCTATACCCAGTAGTCACATGTCTCTGATATAAGCCTTAGAGGTCAGTGTGGGACTGTAGGGCTCTCCAGAAAATGAGAATTCTGCTTTGCAAAAAACAAACAAACAAAAAACACTAAAGGTTTTGGAATTTGGTTTCATTCTCTTGGTCTCTCTTTAGTTTTGACCAGAAATTCCATCATGGACCCGAGAAACCTTCCAGACAAAAAGTTTTGTTTTCCCGACCAGCTCTAATAGGCTGTCCATATCTCAATTTGCATTTTACTTGCACTTTGAATTGTGTTTGTAATATTCAGATTATTTAATGCGGGAATAGCTGGCTGTATAATTCTGTGTAATTAATGTATTTGAGTATAGGAGTCTAAAAATAAAATGAGACCAAATCATCTGTAAATGTTCATCCAGGGATAGGAAGAGCAGCTACATGGCACCAGCTGTTTTTAATGCATTAACATTTCATTTCAGAAAATCTCCTTTCAAAGGGTTACTGCCAAGAAGTTTCATCTCTAGATTTATTTATGTAAAATAGCTTTTTGATTAAACAAGTCCTGTTTTACTTTTTGCTAATACACCACTTCATTGTTATGAAATTAATAATAAACCATACATTTTGGGAGGAGATAGGGGACCTAAAACCAATAGCTTGTTTTTATTCTCCCTGTTTTCCATGCATTTTTATTCCTAGCACTATGTGGGAATTTTTGATGCTGTTCCACAAAGATGCTTTGGTATGATAAGGCATTAATTTAAATAGAATTTCATAAATAAAACCTTCCTAGTTTGTTTCATTTTAAAAAATCAATATTTGCATAAGGGAAAGGGACAAAATTGGTAAGGAAAGATATTTATGGCTCATCTCCTGCAAATGCACTGATCAGAGCCTACCTTTTCAGTTTTCTGAGAGCTTAAGAAAAAAAGAAGAGGAAGCTATTTTATACTGTGTTTAATTAATTAATTAATTTTATTCCACTAGAGCACCCTCCAGATCAGGGCTTCCTAGTCCTAGATGTTGACGAAGGAGCTTACTGGTGGCTTCACAAACAGCTCCTGGCTACCATCAGGGTAAGGGAAGCTTTTTTTCTAAAGACAATGGACACTGCCTTGCCTCTTCTTGTTGTGCTGAGGAGGGTGAGAAACGTCTGCCCTCCCCATCAGTTCCACCTCTTCCAAAGTCTTCTTAGAAAGAAGATGGAACTGCTCCGGGCACCCTCATGCCTCAACACAAAAGCAACGCAAGAGCGGCCATACTGGGTCTGACCAGTGGTCCATATAGCCAGTATCCTGCCTGCTACAGTGGGCAGTACCAAAGCTTCAGGGGAAGTGTACAGAACAGGGCAGCTGCAGAGCTCCAAGCCTGTCTTCTCTTCCTGGCTTCTGGCAGTCAACGGTTTAGGGTAGCCCCTGAGCATTGGGTTGCATCCCAGACCATCTTGGCTAATAGCCAAGGATGTATCCTCCATGAATTTATTTATTTCTTTTTTGAACCCAGTTTTACTTTTGGCCATCACAGCATACCATGGTAATGAGTCTCGCAGGTTAATGCACTTCCTCTTGTTTACTTTGTATTAAACCTGCTGCCTATTAATTTCATTGAGTGATCCTTGGTTTTAGTATTGTGTGAAACAAAAAATAACACTTCTCTATTCATTTTTTCCGCACCAGTCATGATTTTATAGACCACTATGATATCTCCCCCGCCTGCAGTTGT